CCCGGCGAAGGCCTACGAGGGCAACTTCACCGGTTGGGTGCTAGTCGCAGGCGACCGGCGAAGGTTCTACACGCGTCGGCCGACCTTCCTCCTCCCTCGACCTCGCCCTCGCCGCCGCCACGGGGTCCGCCACCTCCCTCGAGCTCGCCGGCGCCACCCGCCCCTCCGCCGCCCACGCCGCCGCCTCCCTCCACCTAGCCCTCGGCGCCACCCACGCCGCCGCCGCCTTCCACCTCGCCCTCGCCGCCGCCAACGGCTCCGCCGCCTCCCTCGACCTCGCCCTCGCCGCCGCCACCCGACCCCCTCCCTCCCCACCGCCACGGCTGCGCGCGCCGCTTTCGCCGCCGCTGCCCGCGCCCCCGCCGCCGCTCGTGCCGCTGCCTCCGACCTCCGCCTCCGACATCGCAAGTTGTCCGCCGCCTCCTCTGCCACAACCCGTTTCTGCCGTCAGCTTCGTCTCCATCAGCCCCTTCGTCGCCGGAGCGATCCCACCGTCCCCCTCCTCTGCCAGCCAGCTGCCGCTTGCATGCCCTCTTGAACCGCTCCCCCCTCTCCCCACGGCCCCGCAGGCTCACCGACTTTGTCCCCCGTCCCCTCCCCTCGCATTCCAGACCCCGTTCACCTCCACAATTATAGCTGTTTGTGCACATCCAATGCAACCTCGCTCGCCGCCCCCCCTCGGCCTCGCACCACCTGCCCCCTCCCGCTCGCAGGTGCGGCTGCGGCCATCGAGGAGCCGCGAAACGCGTCGCTGCGGCCCATTGTCCACCCAAACCCCCGCGCGATCCCGGCAAGAGAGCGACACAGCCGCCTCGCACCGCCGCCCGGCTCCATTCCGAGCGCCGTGGACGCGCGAGAGAGAGATCGCGGGCGGAGCGCCGCCGCGCCCATTGCGCTCCCGCGACTCATGAGCCCGCGCCCCGCTCATCCCGTGTATGCTGACTCTCGCCCGCTGTCGCTTGCGTCCTCGCAGATCCAAAACAACGTGAGCGAGGCGTGCGTGCCGCGGCGTGCCTTGGTGCTGGGCCTCAAGCTGCGAACGCTGCGAGTAGGTGCGAATCAAATCGATCAACATCATGTCAGAGAACGAAACAGTGAAGGTCGGCATCTTGCCGGTCGAAGACGGCCTTATCAAGGCGGTCGTCTTCTCCGCGTCGAAGCCGCCTTCGCTCCTCGGAGACAAGGCGGTGCGCGTGTGCTTGTCGCAGATCTCCAATCTCCTCCCAACACGCTCCCCATCCCTCGCCCACAGGCGTACGGCGCCAAGAACGACGTGAAGGGCGCCAAGTCTGACGCGGAGGCCGTCCTCGACGAGAGCGTCCTCAAGAAAGACCTGGCCGCGGCAACGGCGCCCGCCGCGGAGGTCGAGTCGGACCTGGCCAAGGCCATGTTTGCCGCACAGAAGCCGAGCGCGAGCGCCGTTTTCTGGTCGCTGTCCAAGTTTGCGCGCCCGACCGACCCGACGACGGACCCCAACGGCGTCACCACAAACGCGCCGGCTCTCAAGCCGGTCACCGAAGACGCGCCGGCTCTCGAGCCGGTCGCCGCCAGCGGCACGCCGCTGCCGTCGAGCGAGGAGGTTCCGGAGGAGACGCCCGCCCCGGCGGCGAGCGCCTTGCATTCTGCGCCGTGCGTCTGCCGACCCACCCCTTAACCCACCCCGCTTTCATTGATGCGTAGGGCAACGCCGACTGGACCGTCTCGGCCAAGGACTCTCCGCCAGCGGAGAAGCTCGCCCCGGCGGTGAGTTTCTCCCAGCACGTGCACACATGGGTGTATTGCGGGGACACGGGAGTGTACTCATATTGACCCTGTGCGTCTCGCACACGCGCAGGGCATCGACGAGTGGAAGACCGCCTCCCCGCTCCGCAAGCTCGAGCGCAAAGGCGAGCCCAACCTGGTCGACTGCTCCAAGAACACCACCCCGATTGACCCACCGACGGCTCCCAATGGCGTCACCAAAAGCGCCCCGGCTCTCACGCCAGTGGCCGCGCCGCTGCCGTCGAGCGAGGAGGTTCCGGAGGAGACGCCCGCCCCGGCGGCGAGCGCCTTGCATTCTGCGCCGTGCGTCTGCCAACCCAACCCTTGACCCACCCCGCTTTCATTGCGTAGGGCGACGCCGACTGGACCGTCTCTGCCAAGGAGGCTCCAGGGAAGAAGCCCGCCACGGTGGTGAGCGCCTCGCACGCTGCGGTGCATCGCAGAGCCTCAACTATTGACGCACCCACCGCTTGCGCGTGCGCAGGGCATCCCCGACTGGACCACCCCGTCGAACCCGCGCCGCAAGAAGGGGCGCAAGGGCAGGTCTGCCCCGATCGTCCGCACCAAGAGCATCGCCCCGGTCGGCGGCAACAACCGGTTCGCGGCCCTGCTCGGAACGAACGGCAACGAGGGCATCCTCGGTGGCACCGGCAAGGTGCCCCGCGGCTCCACGCCGCCGATCACAGACTCTGTGCGCGCCGCCTGCATATATGCGGCCCCCTCCCCCGCTCGCCGCTCAAACCGCCAGTCTCGCGCCCTCCTGTTCAGGGCGCGACGGTCGACATCGAGACGACCACGATTACCACGCCGGAGGGCTCCGTCTCTGCCTCCGGCTGGTTCTCTTGGCCCAAGTTCTGCCCGTCCTACTTGCTCCGCCTCTTTGGCATCCTCGCGCTGCTCTGCCTCGGAACCGCGTTTGCGCTCTCCTCGTACTCTGCCACCTCCGCGCTTCTCTCCTCGCAGTGGCACGAGTCCCCGACTTCCTTTCCCGCAGTCACAACGCCGATCGCGCCGGCATCGCTTAACGGCTTCTGCGAGATTGGCGGCGACGACACCAGCTCGTTTGCTGCCATCGCGTCGTCGGACAGCGTGCCTGCCAACCACCCGGTGCGTGCTCGCTCACGCTGGCTAGTATCCGCACCGCGCCAGCTCGTGACCCACAGCCCGCGCGCTGTTCAGGGCGGACGCGACGAGGGGCGCTTGCTGGAAGGACTGCTGGAAGACGTCAAAGAGGCGGTGGGCGAGCCGTTGCGCGTGCTTGGCGAGCCGCCGGCGTCCATCATCAAGGACGTTTACGAGAAGCAGCCGGTGAGCGCCTCTCGGCTGTTTCTGTGTGCGAGCCTTTGTAGCCGGCGCATGACGGATTGCCTGTGTGTTTGCGTGTAGGGCGAGGCCGACTTGGAGACCGTCCTAGCCTCGCGCAACAGCACGGAGCGCAAGGGCGAGCCCGAGATCGACTTTGTCGGTCCCGTCTACAGCAACAGGACGGGGATCATCGCTCGGGGGCGCGACACCGTCCTGCCCGTGAACGACACGTCGCCCAAGTTGCGGCCCGCCGACGCTGGGAAGCCCGGAAGCAAGGCGCGGAAGCTTGTTGAGGCTGGCCTCGCTGGGGCCTCCGTGCTGCTCGTCTCGCGCAAGAAGGCGTTCGACGCCGCCGTCCGCATGGGCGCCGCAGCGCTAGTCGTCGGCAAAGCGGTTGCCACTCCCACAGATCCGCCGCCGCCGCCGTCCCTTGCGCCGCCGTCCCCGCCGCCGTCGCCGCCGCCGGCGCCACCGCCCAAGGTGCTGGTCCAGTTCGCCGTCACCAGCGGCTCCAGGTGCGCCGAGAAGCTGCCGTACGGCCCGGAGCCGTCCAATTTCGCGACGTCGACCTCGCCGCTGGTCTGCACCGACTGCGTCACCGACACGACCGACACGTGGGAGCAGGAGTTCTACTGCGACGGCAGCACTGGCCCCGACCTGACGCTCGAGTACAAGTTCGACACGGACCGCACGATCGGCGCCACCCTCGCCGCGGCCAACTTGGGCGGCATCCCCGTCACATGGTCCGCCTCGGGCTCGCTCCTCAGCAGCCCCGTCACCATGAGCGGCACGTGGGTCGGCACCTCGACCACCGTGTACTGGACCGGCTCCGTCGGCGCCTCCGGCTCGGCTCTGGCCTCGGACGACTTCGCGTGGATGGGCGGCAGCGGCGTGATCATCGACGGCGACCAGCAGGACACGGTCCCCGGCTCCACCGGCGTCTGCTCGGGCACGGGCGTCTACGGCCAGTCGAACTGCAACATGTTCGACAGCAGCAGCAGCAGCAGCTGCAGCACCCTGTACTACGGCTCGTCGTCCAAGTCGTGCTCGAGCATGATCACCCGCGTGTACGCGCGCGCCGGTCCCAAGCCGCCGCCGCCGCCGCCTCTGTCACCGTCCCCGCTTCTGCCGCCGCTCCCCCCCGGCTTTGTCGCCGCGGCGAGCGAGGCCAAGCTCCGCTCCCTGATCGAGGAGGCTACTTCTACTGCGGCCGACGTCTCAATCTACCTGCCGCCCAGTGCGCACTTCAAGCTGGGCAGCCGAATCCGCTGCGACGCCAACATCAAGGTGATCGTCGCGAGCAGCGGCGAGGGAGCGACGCTCGACGGCCAGAGGTCGACCAGGCTCTTTTACCTCGAGGGAGGCTGCAGCCTCACCCTGCGGGGGCTGACCCTCGTCAATGGGAGGGCGAGCCTCAGCCACGGCGGCTGTGTGTACGCTTCCCAGGCAGGCGACGTCGAGATCATCGAGTCGACCGTGTCGGGCTGCTCGGCTGACTATGTGCGCCGCGTAGTGCTAGCCGCCTTCCCTGCAGCGCCACACGGCAGCGGGGCGAGAGATGGAGAGGGCCACGGCTGCCTCACCCCGCTCTCTCCTCGCAACCGCGCAGTACGGCGGCGTCGTCCACGCGACTAACAGCGGTGTGGTCTCGATAATCGCATCGGATGTGAGGGACAGCTCTGCTTATGTGCGCCGCGTAGAGCTATCCGCACCCCAGCAGCGCCGCGACGACAGCGGGGCGAGAGATAGAGAGGGCCACGGCTGCCTCACCCTGCTCTCTCCTCGCAACCGCAGACCGGCGGCGTCGTCTGGGCGTCTAACAGCAATTCTCTTTCGAAAACTTCTCTTTCCATCGCGGGTGTCGACTTCACCGACAACAGAGCGGGCAACTCAGGCTCGGTGCTGTACCTGTTCAACATCGAACAAACCTCGATCAGCGACGCCTCCTTCACCGGCAACACCGCTGGCGACGGTGTCACGATACAGCCTCTCAACTCGCCGATAGACTGGGACTGCCGCTTGGGCAGCTGGATGCCGCACAAAGGCGCCTTTTTCCGCGACTTCAGCGTCCCCGAGTGCAACCGTTGCCCCGATGGCTACTACGGGAACACGAGCGGCCTCATCAACTCCACCTGCAGCGGCCAGTGCATCAGGGGCCACTTTTGCAAGGAGGGGACCGCCGACCCCGAGCCCTGCCCGGTCGGCACTCGCATGCCCGCCCTCGGCGCGGCGAGCAACGAGAGCTGCATCCCGTGCGCTCCGGGCCAGCATCAGCCCCTCGCGGGAGAGGAGGAGTGCCTTCCTTGCGCAGCGGGCAGCTTCTCTCCCGACGTCGGCCTCTCCGCCTGCGAACCTTGCCCTCGCGGAGGCTACTGCGACGAGGCGGGCGCCGCCACACGCATGGTCTGGGAGCCCTGTCCCGCCGGCAGCTTCAACCCGGCCAACGGGTCCAACTCGAGCGCCGCGTGCGAGCTCTGCCCTGCCGGCACCGCGAGCGCAACACCGGGGGCGGAGAGCAGAGAGACGTGCTCGCCATGTGAGCCCGGCCATTTCGCCTCCACGCCCGGCCTCTCCAAGTGCGAGCGGTGCGCCGCGGGATTCTATCAGAACTCGAGCGGCGCCGAGGAGTGCACCCGCTGCAAGCGTGGCAGCTTCTGCCCGGTCGGCGCGTCGCTCGAGCTGCCCGCGACGTGTGACCCGGGCACCTACGCCAACGTCACGGACGGCGACGGCTTGCCCGACTGCTTCGACTGCCCGGCGGGCTCGTCGTGTCCGGGAGGCGCCGCGCGTCCGACGCAGTGCGCGGCGGGCACGATCGCGCCGACCGAGCGGATGGAGGCGTGCGACAAGTGCGCGGTAGGGACCTACCAGAACGACACGGGCGCGACATCCTGTCGCGCTTGCGAGGCGGGCAGCTACTGCGCCAAGGGCGCGGCGGCGGCGCTGCCGTGCGAGGCTGGCAGCTACTCGCGCGCCACCAACCTCTCCGACGCGAGCGAGTGCACCGACGCCTCGCCGGGCTACTTCGCCACCACCGGCTCCACCGAGCAGACGGCGTGCGCCAAGGGGTCGTACACGAACGAGACCAGGCAGGGCGAGTGCACGGCCTGTTCCGCCGGCACGTACCAGGACGCGGAGGCGCAGACGGCGTGCAAGCCGTGCGAGGCGGGCGGCTACTGCGCCAAGGGCGCGGCGGCGGCGCTGCCGTGCGAGGCTGGCAGCTACTCGCGCGCCACCAACCTCTCCGACGCGAGCGAGTGCACCGACGCCTCGCCGGGCTACTTCGCCACCACCGGCTCCACCGAGCAGACGGCGTGCGCCAAGGGGTCGTACACGAACGAGACCAGGCAGGGCGAGTGCACGGCCTGTTCCGCCGGCACGTACCAGGACGCGGAGGCGCAGACGGCGTGCAAGCCGTGCGAGGCGGGCGGCTACTGCGCCAAGGGCGCGGCGGCGGCGCTGCCGTGCGAGGCTGGCAGCTACTCGCGCGCCACCAACCTCTCCGACGCGAGCGAGTGCACCGACGCCTCGCCGGGCTACTTCGCCACCACCGGCTCCACCGAGCAGACGGCGTGCGCCAAGGGGTCGTACACGAACGAGACCAGGCAGGGCGAGTGCACGGCCTGTTCCGCCGGCACGTACCAGGACGCGGAGGCGCAGACGGCGTGCAAGCCGTGCGAGGCGGGCGGCTACTGCGCCAAGGGCGCGGCGGCGGCGCTGCCGTGCGAAGCTGGGAGCTACTCGCGCGCCACCAAACTTTTCGAAGGGAAGGGAAGTGCACCGACGCCTGACCGGGGGACTAGCCCACCCCGGCTTCACTGAGCAGACGCCGTGCTCGCGGGGCACCTTCACCGCTCTCGCCGGACAGAGCATCTGCCAGAGGTGCCCTGCCGGGGAATATCAGGACTCGAGCGGCGCCACCAACTGCACCACGTGCGTGCCGGGCCATTACTGCGCCGAGGGCGCCTCTGCTCCGCTGCCTTGCCCCGCCGGGACGCGCATCAACGCCTCCCTCGACCTCATGACGAGCAAGGACGACTGCATCACCTGTCCGGCCGGCACGTTTTGCCCGACCGGCTCTGATGACGCCATCGACTGCGCGCCGGGCACCTTCACCGCCCTCGCCGGACAGAGCATCTGCGAGAGGTGCCCTCGCGGCACGTCCTCCGACGCCGGCAGCTCTTCCTGCGACGACTGCGCTGCCGACACTTACGCCGCCAACGTGGGTCAGGGCGAGTGCATCCCCTGCCCCTACCCTCTTGCTAGCGGCACCGGCAGCGTCACCTGCTCCGTCTGCAAGGCGGAATTCTACCTGAAGGCGAGCGTCGATCCAGATGACGTCTTCAAATCCCCAACCAAGTACTGCGTCCCGTGCCCGTCGGACGCCGCGTGCCCGGTCGGCACCACCCTCGAGACCCTCGTCCTCCCGCCCGGCTTCTGGCGCGCCAGCCCCTCCTCCGCCGTGTTGACAGAGTGCCGCCTCTTTGGCGGCAATGCCGAGGCCGGCGAGACGCGGTGCGCCGGCAGCGAGCCGGTGGCGAGAAAGGCCTCTCGCCGCCGGAGGATGGTGGAGGCGGGCTCGGACGCGTACTGCGCTTCGGACTTCAAAGGGCCCGAGTGCCGGCTCTGCGCTGCGCCAGACCACCACCTCGTCGACGGTGACACCTGCGAAGTATGCGCTCCGCGCGCCGCCGCTGTGGGCCGCATCGTAGGCCTCGTCCTCGGCCTCTGCGTCGCGTGCGGCTTGGCGGCTTGGGCCTACCACATGCCGTGGCGGAAGAAGCGCATCATCGGCTGTCTCCTCCGCTTTGCAGACCGCTCCGTCAAGTACTACGTCGGGGTCGGAATGACGGCCAAGGTCAAAATCCTGTTCGGCTTTTACCAGATCAGCACCGTATTGTCCTCCACCTACTCCGCGCGGCTGCCAAACAAGTACACGGGCTGGACGGACAACTTGGCCAACGTGATCTCCGTCGACTGGTCTGGCTTTTTCCTGCCGGAGCAGTGCCTCGGCTACGCTCTGCGGCTCCTCGCCATCGCCCTCTCCCCCGTCGCCCTCATCGCCCTGCTAATGGTTGCGGGAATAAGTCTGCGGCTCTACCGCTGGCGTGCTGCCCCGCCGCCGCGCGAGAGAGCGTGGTACGCGGAGGCGGCCCTCGGCCTCCTCGACCTCACGCCGGCGGGCCTGGTGCTCATTTTCTGCTTCGTGCCCTCCATCAGCGCCTCCATCTTCCGCTCCTGGTCGTGCCAGGCGCCCTCTCATAGCTGACTGCCGTTGCTCACAACCCCACCCCTCAGTCCTCGCGATGTTCTGCTGATAGGCCTACACCATCTCTCCGCCAAACGAGCCCCTGCGGCAGGTCTCCTACATGCGGCAGGACGCGAGCGTCGAGTGCGGCTCCGACGATCACGGACCCATCACCGGCCTCGCCATCGGCTTCATCGTCCTCTGGCCCGCCGGCTCGCTGGTCCTCTTCACGTCGCTCCTCGCCGCTTGCTACAAGCCGCTGCAGGCCAAGACGCCGAATGCTCTGACGCGGGCCACCGCCTTCCTCCACCGGGAGTACGAACAAAATTGGTACTGGTGGGAGGCGGTCGAGCTGGCGCGCAAGCTCGTGCTGACCGGTTTCGTGCTTCTGATACCGGAGGAGCGAGCCTTTGTTCGCCTGGTGGTGGCGACGCTCATCTGCTCATGCTACGCCGTCGCGCTCGCCGTCGTGCGGCCGTACAAGCGGGTCGAGGACAACGTCATCGCCGTCGCCACGAGCCTCGTGCTCCTCCTGCTCTTCCTCGGCACCAACTGGAGCACCATCTTCCTCGGCATCCAGGAGCGCTCCGGGATCGATGATGCCAATGCAGTCCTCGGCTTCCGCAGCCTCAATGTGATTGTCGACTCGATGATCATCCTCGTTGCAGTCGTGCTCGCCTTCTTCCTCGTCGGCGCCATCGTCGCCGCCCGCCGCGTCGCCAAGGTCCCCACGATCCGCCTCGTCTCGACCAAGCAGCCCCCCGAGATGAGCATCGGGACTGGCCTCACGTGGCACCTCTTCAACAGCCACATCTGGTGAGTCATAGCTATGGAGGGAGAAGAGGAACAGCAACCCGCCACAACATACCCGGCGGATTCCGATAGGTCGACCGGTCAAGACGCCGTAAAGGTCATCAAGGGTGAGCTCGAGCAGCTGCTGCCGGACATCAAGATTTTTCTCGACGCGCGCACATGCTCATCAGCGCTGCTTAAGCTACACAAAGAGCCCCCCTGACGCACCGCGGTGTGCTCATAGGTAGATGATCTAAAAGACATCGGGGCGCTGGAGGAGTACATCCAGAGCTCGCAGGTCATCCTCTTCTTCCTCTCGCAGGGCTACTTCCGCTCCAAGGCTCGCCTCTTCCTCCCACCCCGCCTCTACCGCACCCTGGCCCCAAGAACTGCCGCCTCGCCCGCGCCACAGAACTGCCTTCGAGAGATTCGCTCGTCGCTCGAGAAGGACAAGCCGCTCGTCCTCGTCCAAGAAGCGGACCCTGCAAAGGGCGGCGGGACGCTGCAGGCGCTGCGCGACGAGTGCCCCGAGGACCTGCAGCCGGCCATCTTTGACGAGGACTGGCCGCTCACGATCTGGTATCGCATCGAGGAGTTTCAGCTCGTCTCCCTCAAGATCATCGCCGAGGCGCCGCCGGCCACAGCCAGCCGCTACGCAGTCCTCTCCGTCTCCCGACCGACCCCACTGGAACCACAGGCGGTGCTCCTCTGTTCGCCCAACTTTCTGGACAAGACCTCCCTCCCGCTCTGCGTGTCGGGCGAGCTCGAGAGCGAGTCGCTCGCCTTTTCCAAACCGTGCACGCTCTGGGCCTCGCCTGCCAACGCGGGCGCTCTGGAGCTGGCCACCGAGATCGCCACCGCCGTTGCCGGTCTCACGATCTCCACCACTGATGATCGACCGGCCAGCGCGACGCACATGCTGCTCTACCTCAACGAGGAGAGCTTCGTCAGCGACGGGGAGCGGCTGGCCGAGCAGGTCAAGCAGGCGCGCCAGGACAGGCTGAAGATCGTCATGGCGCACGAGAACGACCCCGCGCTCGGCGGCTGCCAGTTCTCGAGGTTTTTCGAAGTCACACCGCAGGAGCGAATGTCTCACCGTGGCGCCCGTCCCGAGCCTCCCCTCCCCCTACAACCCTCTCCTCCCAACGCCGCAGGAGCTCATCGCTGGCGGACTCTACACGGACCTGGCAAAATCGTGCTTCCCCGGCCGCCACCGCAAGGCGCGCGCCCTCTCTCTCTCACAGCGAGCTCTCCCCCGCATCGAGCGTTTCGTGAAGAGGGGCGTCCCTGTCCGCAGGTGTCGCTCGTGCTTCTGGCAAAGAGCCTAGGGGCTACCCCCGCTCGCGCGGACCTCCGCGTTTCGGGCAGCATCGCCGAAGCGGGGGACCTCATTTCCGGTGGCATTGGCGAGGGCAGCACCAGCCTCGCGAAGCGCAGCCTTGGCGGCCTCAGCCGGGTGTTCGCCAAGATGAGCAGCCGCAGCTCTGCGGAGGCGCGCGACGTCTCTGCAGGCGAGGCGTCGTCGGTGCAGCACCAGGTCTGATCGTAGCCAAACACTCGTGTGCCGTCTTGCCGTTTGCGTCGCTGGCACTAGACGCGCCACGCCCTGGCCTGGAGGGCGGGGCCCGGCGCCACATGGCACCGGCCAAACCGTCTAGTTCTTATTATGGGCGACGTGCGTCGTTTGAGCGACACAGTTTATTCTAGTTTGGGTCTTTGGGAATGGCGGCGGATGCGGCGGCGACGTCGCTGGAGTCGTCGTCCGTCGGCATTTCAGGCTCATCCCGCAAGGCGGACACGCACATGACACATCGCTCTCGCCCTCTCGGGGCCCCACAGACATCCCGCACACCCTTAAGTCACGCGACCCCCACACAAAGCACCAAAGTTAGGCATACCCCCCGGCGCAGTGTCCCCCGCTATGTGTCGCCGTTCGTCGGGGCACGCAATCCTGTGCAGTCAGGGCAAGTGGGGGCGGGGCGGACAGCCCAGCAGCGCGTGCTCCTGGGATCTCTCCGCCCAGTCCGGGGGTGCGTCGAACCTTCCATCACCCTGTCGGAAGCGGCGTGCCGGTGGAGGCACGTCCGGGTTTTGGAAGTAAAGATATATTACTTTTTTTCGTCGGCCTCCCATGACTGGACCTCTCCGTCGCGGGCAGGGGCTGCTGCGGACCTGCGTCCAGAGGTCCAGTCGATGCGGGCTCGCGGCTACTGCGGGCGTCCGAGCTCGATCTCGAAGCTCGGTGTCATGCTGCTGGCCCGACGGGCAGTAGTGCTTGTGGGTCTCTCGACGCTTGGCTGCTGCGCGCGTGGTAGACACCGCCGGGGCCGAGCCCGTGGCCGGTGCTCGCGCGCGGCCAGACACTCCCAAGGCCGAGCAAGCGTTCACTGTTGCCTCTCGCCTTCCGCGCCGCCTTGCTCGCGGCGCGGCTGGGGGGCGTCAGGGACACGGCAGGCACCGCGAGCACGGCGGCGAGGAGGTGGTCCGAGCGATCGAGCAGGCCGTCCCTTTTCAGTCCGCGCTGGTGCTCGAGGCAGTGGCGGATTGCGGTGAGCGAGAGGTCAGGCCGGCGTTCGCAGAGAGCCGCCGCCTCGGCGGAGAGCGCCAAGGCCTCTTCAGCCTCGACTGAGGCTCTCCACTGCCGCACGAGGCAGGCAATCTCCTGCGGGCAGTGTGCAAGGACTGCATTCAGGGCGGTGAAGAGCAGATATCGCTAGCCATTGGGAGGCGGCTGCCGCACCTCTGCCGCAATCTTCGTGACTCCGACGCCCTCCACCCCTAGGACTGCCTCTGCGCTCTCAGGCGCAGTCTCGGCGAGGGCCCTGAGCACTCCCTCTTTGAGCGCCGCTTCGGGCGCCGTGCGGGAAGCCCTTGCTTGCTCGAAGCGCCAGGCAGCCAGCTGCACATACAGCGTGTCGCTGGGGCTCGAGGGCGACGAGCCACTCCCCCTGCTGGAGCGGCGGCTCGAGAGGGCTCGACTCCAGCGTGGCGCGATCCCCCCGGAGGGCCTCCGCCCCGCCGGTGGGGGCGGCGCGTCTCCCATCGGTGAAACGGAGTTCCGGGCGCGGCGGCTCGGACGGGCGCCCGCCGCGTTTCATTTAATTTTTATTGAGCTTAGCCTTCGATGTTATGAAACAAACGCAAGGCGGACATGGCATATCGCTCTCGGGCCCACAGACATCCCGCACACCCGCCGCCCCCCGCGCGCGCCCACCCCGGCCGGGAGAAAGGGGAGTGACAGTTTGTTTGGGACGGCAACAGAACGAGTATGTTGAGTCCTGGCTCAACAACGCAGAGAGAAATGAAAGCCGTCCGGCTCACAAGTCCGCTCACGCGCCTCGAGCTGACCATCTACCGCACTGATCACTTCCGCCCCCTCGCTCCCAACCCATC